TTTTATTTATTTATTCATGTTCATTTTTTTTCTTAAGAAACCAACTATCCTAGAAGCCTACTTGTAGTCACTCCTTATTGGGGCATTAGCCCTAATTGTCACTCCTCACTCTTTAGATTTCCCTCATTGGATTGAGATGCCATAAAGGCAACTCCTTACTATTTTGTAAAGCTTTAATCAACAAGTAATGTAAGAAATTGGGTGGGGGGGGGTATTTACCTTTCTATCTCGCTTTCAAAAATCTTAATGCGATAAGCAAAAAAGAAGGAGAATTTGAGGAACTCGTGTGCAACTTACTTGCATCATTTTTACATGGCAAGGTGCACATTTTCAATTAGACTCTAGGTAATTTCACGCGTAAAACACTTCACACAAATGCCCCTGTCACTTTTATTGGTATGGTGAGATTGTTTTCATAGGTCATGGTGCCTTGTTCATCATGGTCTAAACTTCTTTATTGGCATGGTGGGACGCAAAAGTAAGCTGAAACTAACTTGAAATTTTGGACATAAATACGAATATAATGAAGAAAAAGATTGAAGAAAATAAGCATGAATGCAACAAACAATTAACACAAAATGCCCAAATGTATATTTCATAAAGAGGAGAATTTTCCAATACTCATTCGTCAACATATAGGAAATAAATAAAGAGCAGAATGATCACAATTTCTATAAAATATGATATTCTCTTAATTTTATTTTTTTCACAATACATCATGTGTCAATATACACTAATTAAAATTACTCTCATACTTTAATGATGTGAAATTCATAATAATATTTATTTCAGTCATACAATAATTTATATCAGCATCACAACAATTTTTTACAAAATAGTTATAACTCTTATGGTACTTTTTTTTATATTACATACTAAATAATAACTCTTATGGTACTTAAAATAATAATCTTGCCCAACAATCATTTATTTTTCTTCAAGGAACATCATAGTATAGGACAATAGTCCCAAATAGATTCTTACCCTTGTGTTTTGGATATTGGTTTGCCACTTAATGGAATTTCATTGTTTTAAAACCAAGGAACTCAAAATTTGCTACCAATGAGGGTTTGGTGAAGTTCAATTTTTTCTCTGAAACATTAAACAGATGGGTTAAGAGATACCTTTTATATTTCTGTCTGAATGGTGTCATATTTCAGGCAAATTATTGGGTCAGGTGACCGAACCCATCTCTGCGTTCGGTCGCCAATAGAAAGACGACATCTGTTAGGCGTTTTTTTAATTTAATATCTTTGCTTTATGTCTTGTCAGAGTGAGCGACCCGACCCGATAACTCGTTTTATTTGAACTTTTAAGCATTTGCCGCCCTATTTTTGCAATTTGATACCCGCGAAAGGCGTAAATATCTACTGCTATAGAAGAAAAAACGAGCCAGAAAATTGCAGAGAAGAAATGGACTGCTCAGCGAAGAGGGAGGTGGAAGAGGGCATGGAAGAGGGAGTGCATGAATCGGAAAGGATGCATGAATCGGAATCGGAACCTAACTTAGCCGGAAATTCCTCTTGTTTCAACATATCGGTATGTTTCTTGGAAAAACGAGTTAGAAAGTTGTAAACAGTCAGTTTTAATCTCATCGCCGCAGAAAGAAGACGTAGGTTTCAGCTCATTAGAGTCTTAGGATCTTAGATTTTGCAATTTTTAGGCAAAATAAATTTTTTTGTCGGAAAAGTAAAAAAAAACTCTAATGTTGTTGCTTAGCTTTCATTATTGATTTTAGGATGAAGATGATAAATAAAAAAAACTGAACTTGTTTGATATCTACTTGCGCTTTAGTTGCGCTGTAGTTGCGCTTTACTTGCGCTTTAACTTTTCAGGCTGTTTATAAAGATGAGACAGAAGCATATGAATGTTTTTGCACTAATGCTCACGATAATGGCTTTAGCGTCCGAAAGGATCATCACAGTTTTTGGCCAAATTTTAGAAAGATAAAATCGAAGGACTTTGTTTGTTCAAAAGTTGGTTTCAAGAAAAGTGATGATCATAATTCAGGAAAGAGAAAGAGATTCACTAGACCAGTTGTCAGAACTGGTTGTCCAGCCATGGTGAGGTTTGTCACAGATGAAGATGGTTACTGGCATGTCAAAAGATTTATTGAATCCCACAACCATGAATTAGCTAGCCCAGCCGACCGACACCTTTTAAGATCATGTAGGAATATTATTGAGGAAAAAGCTTCCATCCTAAAATTGATGACAGATGCAGGGATTAGAACCGTTGATGCATATGCCTACCTTGCAGAGGAAGTTGGTGGATGTGAGAATGTCGGATTCTCTAAGAGGGACGCCTACAATTTGATTCAGAAGGAGAAAAGAGCAAGGATTGAAATTGGTGACACTAATTCTTTGATTCAATTATTTAAAGATCGACAAGTGGAGGACCACATGTTCGCATGGGATGTTCAATATGATGATGAGGATAGATTGTTAAATTTTTTCTGGGTTGATGGCAGAAGCAGGATAGATTATGAATGTTTTGGGGATGTGTTGATTTTTGATACTAGTTACAGGCTGAACAAGTATAATTTAGTTTGTGCGCCATTTGTTGGTGTTAACAATCATTGGCAGAATATTTTGTTTGGGCTTGCTTTTTTGTCAGAAGAAACAATTGAAAGTTTTACATGGTTGTTTAAAGTATTTGTACGAATAATGGGTAATAAATATCCAACAACAATATTCACTGATCAGGACCAAGCTATGGCCAGGGCCATAGAAGCTGCATTACCTCACACTCGTCATAGATTATGCCAATGGCACATATTTAAAAAGGTTCCATCAAAAGTTTCCATCTACAATAGCAATAATAAAGTTAGAGGACTCTTCCATAAGTGTATGAGGTGGTGTGATTCTGAGGAAGTGTTTGAGGAAGCGTGGAATGAAATGATCAAGGTGAATTTCAGTAAATGCCCTAGGACGATGAAGCCTTCATCAGCAGGACTCCAAAATTTTAGAACCTCAAAAAGAAGTGGTATACACTGCTGTAATGCGGGGAACTTAAAAAATTGATGAATGTTCAGGTTCTTTAACGTCTGCTCAACTTCATCATCAATAATCTCGACAAAAGCATCACAATATTTTCAAAAAGTGGTAACATAGCATCTAGATGTTACTGGCCTTTGATACGGCATCTTCATCTGTAAAAATAAAAAAAATACAGATAAAAGCGCAACTAAAGCGCAAATAATGCGCAACAAAAGCGCAAATAATGCGCAACAAAAGCGCAACTAAAGCGCAAGTATACATTTCCTAATTATTTTGCTTCATTTGTCTCACATTGAACATAAATGCTAGTTATACAATTATTACTAAACCCTAAAATTTAGCATAAAGCGTAATCCTTTCGTATCATTTCTTTAATCCATTTACGAAGAGAAGCTTGAAATTCAGAAAATAAACTTTTGAACATTACATTAAACAAACAATTGTAAAATTATAAATAAACCCTAAAATTTAACATATAACTTAAACGCAACGAAAGCGCAAGTTAGGCGCAACCATACCTCTTTCTGAATGATGATCTTCTACAATCTCGTCGTCTACCTCCGGCGGGAAGAAGCTGTTGCAGAACCGAAGGTATTGGAGGAATCCGAGAGCGCTTACCAGAGCTGGAGTAGCAGTGAAAATGTCGCTTGAAAAGAAAATACGCGGCGTTTCCATTCTTTATTTTCCGGAATTCAAAAATCTGCGTTATCGGGTCGGGTCGCTCACTCTGACAAGACATAAAGCAAAGATATTAAATTAAAAAAAACTCCTAATAGATGTCGTCTTTCTATTGGCGACCGAACGCAGAGATGGGTTCGGTCACCTGACCCAATAATTTGCCCATATTTCAATGCTAAAAGCTGCAGTTGACAAAGCTTTGATTTTTTTCTGAATCAGTTATCCCACCAAATTCATCAGTTTGGCTCGTCTAATATTCATCTATTTTAGGCAGCTTGCCTTATTTTTCTTACAATAACACCCATTTTGAGATACCACAACTGTCCAAAGAGAAATATGTAAAAAAATATTTTTCAACCTGGTCACTCTAAACTCAAATGTCTCATTACTTTTGACAGCAGATTGAGGTGACCATCATGGTTTCATGAGAATTTGTTTTCAAGTTTTTCTTATAAGCAGTGAAATATACAGAGTTATACTCTTAATCACTTTACAACAAAGCTTGATGACTAAATGATGCTTTACTTCTGCTAACCACTGTAACTAATATTTTTTTTTACTTTCGTTTGGCACCTTTGATACCCTTAGAGATAGGATACGAAATGAGCATATACGTGAAAAGGTTGGAGTAGCTCCAGTAGAAGATAAGATTAGAGAGAGTCGCCTTAGATCGTTTGGTCACATAAAACGGCGGCCTTCCGATGACCCGGTTAGGAGAGTAGAGGTATTAGATTTGACTTATGTTAAGAAAGGTAGGGGTAGACCTAAAAAGACTTGGTTAGAAAAATATTAGGAATGCCTTTCTTTATTAGATTTAAACGAGAATTTGACTTTTAATAGGACACAATAGAGAAAAAGGATTCATGTAGCCGACCCCACGTAGTGGGATAAAGGCTTGATGTTGTTGTTGTTGTTGTTTAGCACCTTTGAGCTTTTCTGCTTCAATCTGTAGTTTGTTTTTCTTCCACTTTCTACTGACTCAAGTTTGCATTTAAGCTCTGCACCTAGATGAGCTTCTTTTTTATGAATTAAACACATTGTCTTTTTTAAATTTATCCCAACTATTTGGGATGAATTTTATCAATCTAGCTTTATCCTAATTATTTGGGAGGAGCTTTTTCAATCTAGCTTTATTAATAGATATCAAAATATGCATTAGTTTTTCAAGAGATTTCTCCTCGATTTTCTCTTTCTTGAACAACATTTTCCCTGTAAAACAGGGCATTGCAGTCTTATTTCAGCATTACATCAAATTTTTATTGAATATATGCTACATTTTGTGTTTGCTAAATCTAGCTTTGGGGTGCAAACTTCTTAATACAGGGCTGATCACAACCTAGAAGATATAAGAGCTAAGATTTTTCCCTACAAAAAGAGAAAGGTTAATGGTCCAGAAGTTGTCCAATCCATTACATTGCCTGTTAGAAGAAAGGAAAGGTCATTATCTTCATTAGGCGTCATTACTCCTCGAATAGGAGTTCAGTCAAGCTTGACAGGAAGGAGAACAAAAGCAGTTGCCAGAAGGGCATCCGCAACTAGGGGACCGAGTCCACTTATTGGCGAGCATAAGAAGAAAGAAGATGATAATGATGGTGTGGTGGAGTCCAGCCCACCAGAAAACTTAGTCAAAATGGCTCATAGTAGAAGGCAGGTAAATTTGATGCAAAATTTGAATAAATGTTCTTTCTTGATGGATATCTACTTTCTTTCCATCTAATTTAATACAGATGATTTTTTTCTTTTAGTCATGTGCAGAAGCGTCAAGCTATTTATGTAATGAAGATGCCGAGAATGACACAGAAATCTGTATGTATAAATCTGAGTTATGGAAACCCTTGAACTGTCTTGTAGAAGCTGCAAATAGGACGAAGGGTTTCAAGTGCAGTTCTCAAAGTACTGCTATTAAGGCAGATCAAACAAATAGCATTGAAAATGAAAATCGTAAGTACAGAACAAAGGTTCGGGAACAACCAAGTAATTTAAAAATTCAAGATTATGAGAATGGCCATGTTTCAACGTCTCCAGTAATGGCCAAAGCTAGAAGGATGAATGGTGTTAGTCGTAAGAGGAAGGGGCATGGTCCTTCAGCTCAAGCAGTGCTTGATGCTTCAGATGCTGCATGTGAAAGGAGGATCTGCCCAGTCTGGCTTTCATTGCTTTCATCACCCAACAAGTGAGAACAGAATCCTTGGTGCTTCTGTAGTCTACATGTATTATGGAATTTTTACTAACTATTTATGCGTTTCATATAATTATTGCAGAAATGGCGATACACCATTGCCTCAAATACCAGCATCATATCTAAGAATTATGTAAGTTTCCTTTATCTATTTTCATTCATGATTTGCAGAATTCTCGGCCTTGGCCTGCATGATTTATGTCTCCTGTCATTTTCATGAGATAGTTTTCATTAATGATGCAATAAAACACAATTTTTATGCTGGCATGGAAACCTAAAAGGTGCAGGTAGCATGTTACTATTTTTTTAATGACACCAAAAAAGATTGGGTCTAATATTGTGCCTGAAAGCTATGACCTAAGAAATTAGATTCTTAGTAGAATCATCAACATTTCCTGTAAGACTACCATCTCACTGATGGCAAGTGATCATGAGTATTTAAAGATACTGTAGATTTTTGGATGATAATAATGCAGATCAGTATGTTGCATGATTGTATGCGGATCAGGATGGAACATAGTGATAGGAAGTTTCATGATTTCTAGCATGTATTTAATGAGCCATAACTTTTTATTTTAGTTAAGATTAAATTATGAACGGTTATTAGAAGTTCATTGAGAGATCTACAAGAGTTTCTTTTAAAATGAATCTATTGTTTTTTATCTGATGGGCTTTGGAAGGCTCAGTTAGCAAACTAAGCTGGCTTGACACATGTTTGATTCTTTTTTACTAGTTCAATAATCGGATAAAAAAACTACAAAAGCATGATTATGTAACCAATTAACCATACATGCAGTATAATTTTTTTGTAAGATATGGGAACAAAAATATAATGGAAAAAAGATGGTATATTGATGGAGGGGGGTACAATGGAAAAAAAAGACGAATTCGGTTTAGGAGAACGGGAGAGACAAAAAAAGTTTATAAGGAATTTAGATGAATGAATGCCTCAAGAGGAAGGAATGTTGATCTCCATATATGTTCCACATGCTTTCTTAATCAAATATGAAAACAATGATGGGACATAGCTATAATTTTGCAATAAATTAGCTTATAATATCCTATTTACGTAGAAGGAACATTTAATTGTTGACCACTTTGCAAAATGGACTACCGCGATGGTATGAAACATCAAAGCAGTCTAGAAAGGCCCCTCCATATTTCTCGAGTTGACATGAAAGGAGAGAGAATTAGCCATTTGAGAGGTGGAAAATTCAATGGAGAGTGCGCACACATTTGTTTTTAAAATGATAATAATTATATATATATATATATATATATATATATATATATATATATTTTTATTTTTTAGAGGCACTTGCGTGGGCTAAATTGCACCCTATATGAAGAACAAAGGGGACCGTTCAATCCTCTTATATTATAAAAAAACATATATCATCTTCTTACTTCAATCCCTCATTTACCATGTGGTGCACTTTCTCCTTCACACAATAAGTGCCATTTACCACCCTCCCATAATCGTAACACCTTTTATTTTCTTATTCGGGTACCAAGCCTTTTCTTGTGATTGTATCTCCTTCTCATTAACTCTCTCTCACATACAATACACACACTCTCTCAAATCTCCCCTCTCCTCATCACAAACATGTTGTTGATCTAGTACAAGATATGTAATGTGACCTTGTCGCCCTTCATAAATCCTGTGCACTTGATGGAACAAGGGAAGCACATGCATGCTTTTCTTAACATAGTGGGGGAACCTTGTGCACATCTTTCTTGATATGTTGGGGAAACATTATGCTGTCCAATTTCGTGCTTTTCTTATGTAGTGAACTTATCAAGAGTTTTTTATACACTTTTTTCTAGTGCGGTGGACCCTAATACTACTTCTCCAAGTGCTCTGTATACCAACTATGCACACATTTCAGTGTTTCTTGATGCAGTGAGGGATAAAACAGTACCCATAGTCGTACACCACCCAAGCATTTTTCTTCTTGATGAGCAAACCCAACATGCATCCCGTTATCGCTTATGCTACGATGATGAGGAAGGGTGTTGTCAAATTTTAGCTAAAAGTTTACTAAAAAAATATACACTAAAATGATTTTATGAACAAAAAACTAAAAATAATTTGGTGAAAATTCTAAAAATAAGATGAAATTTACACTTAAATGTTGCTAGTTGCGAATTGAATGAAGAAAAATGGACTCAAAATCCATTCTCGCCCTTACCTGCTCGCCCTCGTATCGCCTAATTTTCCTCACCCCACCCTTGCTCGCTCGCACTCGCCCGTCACACTCAACCACATTAGCGGTCGGGGCGTGTTGGGCCGGGTTCGGATCTAGATTTTTATCATGTCTGGAAAAATAGGCCACGTTCGAGTCGGACATCTTAAGAGTGGGTTAGTTTAGGGTTTGTCTTGAACCCGACTTGAAAACTTATTTTGACACCCCTATCTAAAATCATCTGCAGGGAGTAGTCTGTTGCTTTGAGACATTGAGAGTAAAATGCAATGAGTTATTTCAAACTTGCCCCTTCTTTATAGAATATAGATCCAACTATTTGGAATAAATAGAACTAGGGATTCTTGTTAAATTTATCTTCGAAATGCTTTTTTACCTATAGCGTTTATAATTTCAATTAATGATAAACTTTACGCTTCTTAACATTGTGATTCTCTCCAGTATTATTCATGAAACTGAGCTCTCAACTCCTTAACTACCAAATCCTGACTAATGAGTCTTGTCCATTTGACCAAATGGTGGTCTGGGGAGCATGGACTTGGGGAACCTTGGCCATTTGACGCAGTTTTCCCACATTTTACGAGGATCTTAAGATGTAATATGAGGTTTCTAATCGGCACAAATCCTTATAGTTAATTATTCATCCCAATGATGAGAAAGAAATTTCAACTAATGCTAGTCGTTAGAGGATATATGCTTAGTGTATAGCAGTTAAAGATAGTCCATTCTCCAACTAGGGACTCTGTGGCTGTGTTTCAAATGAAGAAAGATGTATTGACGGAGTAAATTATTCTTCAATACAACTTTTTTTCCATGTTTGACGTTCTTTTGTTCCATTATTTGATTTTCAGTTGTCCTGTTTTGTAAACTTTTAATTAAGGCGATAGCAACAATTATTTATACAAGACAACGGATGATAACAATAATGTGTTTGCCAAATTATTTGATTTTGGCTGACATCAACTACTGCTGTAGCATTGATTGGTATTGAGTGGAATGTTCTTTGATTGCCATTTCTTCCACATTTTTGCTCTGTTAATTATTCTCAGGAAATATTAATTCATTTGATGTGTAATAGAAGGATGATACTTTGGATGCAGGGAAGGCAATCTTCCTGTTTCTTTCCTCCAGAAATACCTCGTTATGAAGCTTAACCTTGCAAGTGAGGCAGAGGTAATATATTTCTGATGCAAATTGATAGCATCACTTATTAAACTTTTATCACTTCATAAGCATAGCTGATGACTTTGGCAAGAAGCTGTTGCCTTTGGTTAATAGATCATATGCCATCTCTCACCTTCTTTTTTGAAAATTGCAAGTCATCTAATGTTATGTAAATTATGTTAAACTTTTGATTCAGATAGTTCCGAGCCCCATTACTTGCATGGATCTTATAACTTTCTGATTCAGATAGTTCTGATCCTTCACAATGTGATGGATGAAATCCATGCAACTGTGGTGGTGAATTCCCCACAGTTGGGAGTTGGCTGTTCAAATTTGGAAAAAAATACCATTACTCACGTATATAATTGAATATTAATGAATTCAATTGATTGTTGTTTGGGAGAAGGCTTCGTTTGGGACGGCTTTTTTTGCTGCTTCTTAAAGCAGCTTTTTAGTATAAAAATAAAAAATTTATACCACAAAGCTGCTTTAATAAACAATAAAAAAGTCGTCCCAAACAAAGCCGAAGTCTATATAGAAGTTTCATCTTTTAGTATGTATATAATTGAATGGCTCTCATCTCCTTCCTGCTGTTCCTTCAGTATGGACACATTTCAGTAAAACATATAATGCTTCCATCAATTCTTGAAGTTTCTCCCTCGTACATAGATTCAAAGCTATTTTTGCATTTTGAAAATATGTTAAAAACTAACTGCCTTGATAGAAGTGTCAAAGCTGCAAGGAGTGCACTGAATGAGATTCTTCTGCCATCTTGTACACGCTATTTGAAGAACACTGAACTTCCGACTGATTTCATCTGGGAGTGTGGATGGTGGACCGCTTTCCAACTTAGTATTTGAACTGCCTGCAGATCCTACGCATCCAAAATTTCCACCAGAGGAATCTTGTGTTTAAGGAGCTTGAGGGTTAGATTTAGTCCCACATTGAAAAATAGAAATCAGGTTTAAGGAGATTTGGATAGCTCGGGAGTAGCAACAAGTATTCCAACAAACTCTCCTCAAATCTTCTCTAGATTTCCAGGCATTTAGTTAGTGATTTCTAGAAAATAATCTCCATATCTAGTAATATCAAATGATTTACCCTAACTCATATGCTTGAGTTTTTCAACAGAAAATATTTTTTATCACTATCATATGAGGCCTGATTTTAATTCTCTTTTAATCTACAAATCATGACACTGCAATACGTCTAACTATAAATTATTCAAATTCGATTTTTACATTTACTTTTTGGCAAAGACATCATGCATGGATCATATATAGGTGATTTTGTTCTTTTTATATGAATCGGTTCTCCATTTACTTTTGATATCGATTCCATTTACTTTTGATATCTAGTGCTCAATTGCTGTATAGCTTTTGCTTATGGGTCCTTCAGGAAACTTTAAGTTCAATTGATTCTTATATCATGAGCCTCTGGTGTCAATATTTGACACGACCCGAACCCGATTCGGAAATTTCGGGTTCGGGTTGACCCGACTCTGAACCGAATCGGGTTAGGGTTAGGGTTTTCAACCCATTTCAAAAATCGGGTTGGGTTCGGATTGACCTAGAAATTTAAAAATAACTCGGGAAAAAGGCATTTGCCAGCTCTGCACGCATAGCTTGCCCACTGCCCACTTAGCTTGCCCCTCGCCTGTCGTTTATGGCGTCTACCCACGATGCTGTGTCGCATCCCGTCTTCCCGTTGCCGCTGTCGGCCGTTGGAGTTACATGATTTCTGCCGCTGCCGAACCCGAAGCGGAGTTACGAGAATTGACTTACGGGTTGGTCAGGTTGACCTAAACTCAAAGCGGGTCGGGTTCAGGTCCGCAAAAAGTGACCCATTTGAAAAATGAATTAGGTTATGGTTGACCTGAATAGTGTCGGGTCAGTTCTGAGTTCAATCCGAACCATACGCGTGACCCGAAATTGACACCATCATACATGAAGATTTCTATTTTGCTGAATGGTTTTTGCTTAGGGGCTCTTTGGGTTCTTTATGTTCAATTGCATTAAATTTTCATAGCATGCATGAATGCTACCTCTAATCAAGTAGAACTGTCAAGTGTTTTATGCCAAATATGTTAATGAAATTTACATGGCAGGTGGAAATTGCTTGCGGAGGCGAGCTGGTGAGTCCAACATTATCCTTAAATGACCTGACAGAGCAGTGGCTCCGCCATGGACCTTCTCAAAGGGTGCAGGCTTCAGTCGGCTCTTCAGCCAAGGACTTTGTAATGGTTCTGACATATAGCCGCAAGACAATGTCACCTTGAGCTTTGTTATAAGCATATACAGGTTTGTCTTTTTCCTCTCTTCTTCCCCAGCCTTCTCCATTTGATTTCTTCATCTTCTCCTTTTTCTTTTCAAAGGCCTGATTAAAGACTTCCTCTTCACTTTCATTTAACAATTTTAAGTAAAATAGTTGAATCCTTCCTCATGTATATATTAGTTTTCACATTTCATATTGCATTTAAGTTTGTAATATAATGTCATTATAGTGCATTTGTGATTCATCATTAATAAATCTTCCTTGTTAATTTCCAATTGTGACTGTTTTTTTTTAATTATCTAATTATTTATTGTTATTTGTCATATATACGATGTGAATATCCTCATGCTGGAAATTCTGCACAACTACTACTACAACAACAACAACAATTATTTGTCTCACTACGTGGGGTCGACTTCATGAATCTTTTTTCGTCATTGTGTTCTGTTAAAAGTCAAATTCTCATTTAAATCTAATAAAAATGTCATTTATAATATTTTCTAAGCAAGTCTTTTTAGGTCTACCTCAACCTTTCTTAACATGAATCAAATCTAACACCTCAACTTTCCTAAGCGGGTCATCGGAAGACCTCCGTTTAATATGACCAAACCATCGGAAGGCCAACATTTAATGAAATTCTGCACTACTAAACAACTAAAATTATATAGGTAACAATAACAACAACATCGAGCCTTTATCTCGTTACGAGGGATTGACTTCATGAATCTTTTGTCTTCATTGTATTCTATTAAGAGTCAAATTTTTATTTAAATATAATAAAAAATGTTATTTCTAATGTTTTCTAATCGAGTCTTTTTAGGTCTATCTCTATTTTTCTTAATGTAGGTCAAATCTAATACATCTACTCTCCTAACCATATAATCGAACGGCCATTGTTTTATGTGACCAAATCATCGAAGGCGCCTTTATAATCGTATATGGCATTGGCGTTATTCTAACCCTTTCATGTATATACTCATTTTGCATTCTGTCTCTTAGAGTGAAGCCATTCATCTATGATAATTTGCAATTTTTTAGATACTGATACTGATTTAAAGATAATATTTAGGTTTCGTTTGAGACAGTTATCTTATTGATTCTTCAAATAACTTTTTAATACAAAAAATTAAAATTTTTTAACTAAAAAGTTACATCTCTTAATTATCAATCCCGCAATGGGCTCCACAAGAATCCAAAATACAACTAATTACTTTCATTAAATGTCCCTCTGCTTTGTTTTTTGGTTTTCAAGAAATAACGCAAACTTATAATAATTAAAAAACCTGTCTTACTATTTTAATAAGCCATGATCAGGAAGAAGGAGAAGCACGCCTCTCTATTTTTGTAATCATTTATTTTATTTATTTATTTATATTCTGACAAGACATTTAAATATCACAAATAAATTTAAAAATTTTGGAGGGTCAAATTTGAGCACTCATCTTTAAAAAAAAAATGAGATGACAAATATTGTATTATATGAGTAAATAATGCTAAGATTTATATTTAAAAATCTTTATTTTATGAACTAAGTAATAAATTTAAATTAATAATTAGTCATTAAGATTATATATATGATTATATTATGTTAATCTTAAAATAAATTTAATAATTTTTTAAATCCATTCAATTACTATTTTGAAATTAAAAAAAAAAAACTCTTGAAAAAAGTCTTACGTAAAATAAGAAGTATTAAGTATGATTATTTTTGGTGTAGATTAATGCCTATAAAAATTAGAAAATGTTTGGCTTAAAATGAGCTGGAATTTAGCTTTGGATGAACACTCCTTAAGAATGAAATAAAGGCAATATTTTTTGTTTTGAAATGAATTATGATATTGTAAAAGTGTTTTTCTATCATAAGTCAATATTTTTCATTTAAAATGTGTGCCTTTCTTGAGAAAGTATTTTATGCGGAGTCAAGACAGAGATAATCGTTCGGACATATTTATTTAGTATTTGATGCGTATTTGTAATACTATCTGAATATTCATCAATTACTCAGTTGTGAGTATTATTGGATATTTGTTGAGTATTTTGTGAGTATTCGTTAAATATTTTGTGAGTATTTATTGCGTATTTATTAAATATTTGCTATGTATTTATAAATACTCAATAAATACGCAGCAATTCGAACAGCTCTTTCCATCTGGATAATAATTTCCCATCTTTCATAAGGTCTTTTCTCCTCTGAAAACACCCAATCCAATAAATTGCAAAGTAAAATAGTATTTATAAAAAAAGAGTTCACATTTGATCAACGCTTAATACGCAGGATTTTTTTTTCCTTTACGCGTTAAGTGGAAAAAACTAATAAACGTGTGGAGCTAAAATTTTCTAGGTAAACTTTATATATTTAAATATTAAATTTAACTAATTTGTTTCTTTTTAATATATGAGAGCATTTTAAAGGTATTGAAAACATGTAATTATTTTGAAAGTTAATTTATTTATTTTGAGTTTTTTTGTAAATTTTGAGAGAGATTATAATATATTATGAGTCAAGCTTATAGCCCCACTCACTTTCTTCATGCTGAATTAAATTCAATCAAAAAATTAATTCAATTTTCAAGTGATCTTTGAACCAAACTCTCAAACCTCTTTGTTTCATGGAGCTTCATTTCACATGCATCTTTGTTGTGTGTGGCTGGATTCTATTATTTCCATTGGTGTCTTGTTCTTATTTTTGTATTTTTCTCTTTTATTTTTGTCTTTTTCTTGTAATAGTTAGAATCATCGACTCTTAGATTTTTATTTAAATGTTATATTTTTAGAGAGATGAATATTCTTTAAGGACTTGTAGAAATAATTTTGAAAATGATTATATATATATATATA